TAAGATGCACAAATATGTATTTATTTTTTTAAAATCACTTCCGTAATCATTTCTACTGAAACAACATGCTATTAAGTTCCGTTTATAATACTGGTATTAACAAGTTATAACTGAAATAGCTGTCATGATGCCATGCTGTTCTGTGATGCAGTAACACATGTAAGTTCGGGAAACTCTATGGGCTCACTTAAACCCTCCTGTAAGGATATTTGTTGGCAACATTAAAGTTAGCAGCCTGAATCTTATCACCAAATCTTCCATGACACACAGTAAGCATGAAGACCTGTTGAATTTTGTAGACTTGGAGTCCACTGTTCCTGGGACACCTCTTGGTATTTCGTCCCTATTTTTGGGGATGAACAGATCCAGTAGAATGAAACTGTATGAATGATTTAGTCTTTTCACATTGCTGGGATGTTACTGCATGTGTTCTAGTAGGTTATTTCCATCAAATGCTTGTGGGTACAGGATACACCTGTAAACATGGCATTTGTTTGTGTAGCAGCAGCATTATCTCAGTTTGAGAATTCTATATCCTTGTACTATTCAGAAGACAAGAAACAATTTCAGCATAAATCTTCAAAGGATGCCCTGTACTGGGATTGCAAAGCAATGTGCTTATTTTCATTTACATTAGGAAACTGCTGGCTCCACTGGACTGCTGTCATCATCAAAAATCTGCTGAAGCACACGAGACTCACAACTTCTGTGAAGTTGTTCACTTTGTTTTAGATTCTTTTGCAGTTTATTATTTCTTTGACTGGAACTCCAGCTTCACGTTCCAGCCTAACTGCGTAGTTAACATTCAGATCCTACTCTTTGTGCTCAGGAGAGTACATATTTTAAACTGTTGTGTCTGTATGGAGCAGAGGTTGCAGAAGAACTGACTGTCTTCCATGTTTTAATTTGTGCGTCAGTACCAGAGCGTAGCTAAGTAACATACAACAGTGAATTTTGCTCTCTCCCTGTGCTCTGCAAATTCATACTAGTGAATTCATACAACTAGGACTATGGAACTGAACAACAGAAAAAAGGCCTTTATCTGATTTTACTTCTCCCAGTGCAGCAGTGAGCAGCCACACCATCAGAGATGGTTTTAGAGTGGTCTAAAGCCTGTTGGTCACGCTCGTGGTGCAGGTTTCAGAGGCAGAAAACAGGGTATGAGTTTTCATTTCAGAGAGAGCCTCAGAGCTCATTTGGTTTCTGGCAAGCTGACTCCTGATAACTGGAGCAGGGCTTTGAAATTAGCTCAGTACCTTGTATGCTACATGGCAAATAGCCACAAGGTTTACTGCTATTCCAGGAAACAAATACTCTACTTCCACTGCTTTTACAGAACAATGAGCAGGCATTAAAAATGGTGGGGACTTGCATAGTCCTATCCATTATAGGATGGGTGGGGTGTGAAAAGGGCCCCTTGCTGAGATTTAAGAGCAATTCCCCTTCATTGAGATGGCTCTCTGCTTTCATCTGGAAACACTGATTTTGCCTGCTCTACTCTTGCTGCTGCTCCTGCAGAGAACATAAAAGTGATGGGAGAGATAAACTGGGTTTAGGAAGGTCTAGATTCCTCCTCTGTGAGGTTTCAAGTAGATCTGGCCCAAGACTATCTGCGCACTTTGCTATTTTGTCAGTTTTTCTGAGTTCTTTGCTTTTTTCTTTCCTTTTTTTTTTTTTTTTGCACAGTCGTTTAGAGGAAAAGAAAACACCAACACCAGACTAATTGCAAATTGCGCTTCCTCTGACAAGAGCAATGAGAAAAATTCTTGCAACATCTCCCTGAGATGCCATCAGGTCTTGCTGGAATAAAGTACAGCTAAAGGAATTATTTTGTTGTAACTCTTACTTTAGCTATATCACTGTTAGATTCAGTGGGCCTGAGTTGTTCTTTTGTTTGTTTGTTTTTACTATTATTATTCAAAGGAAGGGCCATTTACACCTCTTTAGCAGAGAACTTACGTTGTGCTACGAGTGTGTCTTCCATCACAGAGTGTAAATGTGAACAAAAATCAGCCCCCACTATTATTATTCAAAGGGCCATTTACACCTGTTTAGCAGAGAACTTACATTGTGCTAGGAGTGTGTCTTCCATCACACAGTGTAAATGTGAACAAAAATCAGCCCCACAGAATCGTCATGAGATAAAAAAATTAAAATTCCCATAATAGTAAAAATGTTTCTGGGCATAATATTGAGCTATTTTTATATTTATGACAATGACATTGCATAATTACCAAAGACTTTCATTAGATGAGCCAACACAATAGCATACAAGCCATCAGCTTAAAACAACTCTTTTATTTGCTTGCAAAATCTTCTAATATTATGTCAGCTGAATTGTCTTTTGTTAATCTCCAAAACTTTGCTTATTGGCTTTCTGATTTTTTTTCTTCCATTGGCTTTAATTTAAGTGAAAAAATTACTTAAGCAGTGAAAAATTTAATTAAGATCGAAGTGTAAAGATTAGTTAAAAATAATTGTCACTTATTAAATACATATTCATTAAGCAAAGAACTTACACAGAAGAGCAGTTTCAGTGAGACTTAAATTCTTAAAAGTTGTACTTAAAGCTAGCCCAGTTTTGTTTTGCTGAAGAGATCTGGACACAATGCTTTGTTCCATTTCTTGAATCAGTGGCTTATATATGCACCTAAGTGCTATTTACCTCACCAAGAATCAGGCATAGTGCGTAAATGTGTGTGTAAGCTCAAGTGCCTCATCAGGGTTCTTCTCTGAACTAAAGCAGAAGGCGGCGTGGGAATGTTTTGACATTTTCAGAAAAAAAAAAAAAGGTCACTTAAATAAAAAGGAATTCTCAAGCAATTTATCCTAGCTGATAATGTAGCTTAGGGTATATTAGAGCTATAAAAGGAAACATAGTAAGACGAATTTGATCTGCAGTAAGAACTTTGTCCCCGAACACATTATATTTTACAGAAATACACTTAGGAAAGGGTCAGGAACCTCCATTGCCATCCTCCAGTCCAGAAATAGGTCTCACCCAGGGATAAAATGGATTTTTTCCCAAGAGTCCTTCCTATTCTGTAGATATAGGGAAACTAATCCTTGTTATTTAAAAGCCTATTATTTTCCAATGTTCCATATATGACGTAGGGAGGGATAGATTCCTACTGACTTCGGTAGTTACTAATCATGTCTTAATATCACGAGCCTACTAAGCAGTCAGTAATATGGTTTCCTCACATTATTAAGTCTAGGAGTACCCACACGGAACCACTACTAATCTAATCTGTGGATATTACTTTAAACCAGGAACACCAAAATTTCCCACCAAAATAATGTTGCAAAGATCACTCACCAAGATTTGCAAAGTTCTTGCTTTCTTGAAACACTGCTTTTAAAGCACTATATATATGTGTGTGTGTGTGTATGTATGCATATGTATATATATGTATGTATATATATATATATATTTTTTCCAGCTCTCTTTTTGTGCCACACAGTTGTAAGCATCTTGGATGGATATAGGACATCTCAGGCAATAACAGGCAACAGTGTGTCAAGTCTTTTACAGGAAAGATCCTTATAGGAAAATATGGATGAAAATATGCTTTTAAAATGTTCTTAATGTTAGGTCCCTATACAGACCTTTCTCAGGCTCTGATGGTACATATTCTGTAAAAGCTGCTATTGCAAAAGCAAAAGATAAAAACTATGTATCTTCAGAAATGTCAGAAATGTCTATGTCAGAAAATTAACACGATGGAAGCTTAATCTAATTATAATCTCCCTGATTACATATATATATATATATATATATATATATATATTCACAGAGAAGATGTCATTTATTGGTATGTGACTTACATGCTTACATGGCTCGGTTTGCGAAAAGGTAAGAGTGTAATAGATTAGAGTAATAACTAATAGTAGTTAAACCTACTGAAAATACTTATACATGTGTAAGCAGTGTACTTCTTTCTCCAGCTTGCAGTTGGGGCACAACTTGCACACAGGCAAATATAAAGCGAATCTGCTTGTTACAGATACAGGTATCTGTTGATACAGATTACAGAGGCACAGTACTAAATTCAGCTTCAGGGGTTTCCACTTGTGTTCGACCATCAGCTATGGAAAGGCTTCCGCTGTAGTGATGTTAATTCATACATGTGTTCATACGTTTTAAAGCATTTCCCTCACTAACAGTTCCCTTGATGACGTCAGAGTGAGTGCATCGTATCATGTCCATGCTGTTCTCCTTGAACAAAGATCATAGCTTTAAACCAGTGTGTTTCTGTTCTGTATTACGCAGTCTCACTGAAATTTTCTTGGTAAACACTCCAAAACACGTTTTATTACCCTCCTTTTAAAACATTTCCATTTTAAATGTCAACAAAAAGAAAACATTTATTGCTATAATACATAATGGCAGGTTATTACTTTTTGTAAAGTATGTTTAAAAACCCCAATAACTGATATATTGTTTGGTGATTACAGAGAATTTAGATTATACAGTGTTTTAATCTAGAAATATTCATTTTATGCACAAAGAAAATAAAGTTCAGAAAACAGTAGGCAGCAAACTCTGTTATGTATATGTGTGTTAATTACAATTAAAAGCCTTTTCTGGAAGATGCTGAGCACACTCAACAAATTCACTCCAGTAACTGTTAGGAGATGGTTGGCAGCTTCTAGGATGGGGCCCAAATGATGCACCTGGAGGAGTATGTGATATCAATGACAATATTTCTATGATTCTTTTCTTACAGAGTCACTAAGAAAATATATTTTTAATAGTCATTGGTAAGCACCAGCTCACAACACTGCATGTGACTGCATCACTTGCACATTACATTTCCTGACACATCTCATGTACAATACACCTAGAGTTCTCAGCACAGGGAGAACTGACAGCTGTTACATAAAACACACTTACACATTACCACAGGGAAAATAATGTACTTTTAAGTAGCATTTTAAACAGTGAATTTTCAATATTATTTCAGTGACTATAATTTTTTATGAAAAAGAAAAAGTAGTCAGTGACATACTTCCTGAAATTTTAATACTGGCTTTCAGGTGTTAGCAATCTAAAGTGCTTTCATGTTTCATACATTTTTTTAAATTTTCAATTTATACAAAAAATTTGAGTACTTATAAAATTACTATGTACACTAGTGAATGTACACTTTAGTCTATGCCTGTTTCCTCGCCCAAGAAATTAGCATTGCCATCTCCAAAATCTCTCTTTTGAAACCAAGTCTGTGAGTTTGTTCCTTGAATATAAGCATCCAGAAAATAACAAATTCCAGGGATATCACTGGGAAAATTTGGTGGAAGTTCTTCTCTTGAGCGAGGTGTGAAAGCAAAACCTGGATCGTCCTTTAGCAACCTGTAAGAAAAATGAATCATCTTGGTGAAATATGAATCAAACACTAATTGTTACTACAACTGCAGACTTTCAGTAATTCTTTAGATATTCTTTATAAAATGGGGCAGAGTCTAATGTAATGTTTATATTCTATTTACTGAAAAGGTTAAAAAAAAGCTATTTATTTTGTAACTTTGGTAACCCATACATTCATGTACCAGTTCAGGCAAGAACATTGCCCTTTTTGTTTTCTCAATGCTTAAAATGTAGGTGCTATGTTTGTTGCAAATATTTTCAAATATGATTTAGTATTGAAAGCTAGCTCGGATTATTGCATGAACTTGGCACTAGAATTCCTGCATCGGCTAGTGAAATACTGCAGGGCTGCTTAACTAAACTGTTCGGCTGCTCTTGCTGACTCTCAGCGTGCCGAGCGGTCTGCCTGCCAGCGGCGCTGGGCAGCAGCAGCCACGGGGCCGTAGGACCGAGCGGAGCAGGGAGAGCTGCCTGCACAGGCCGTGCAGGGGGAGGGAGCGCAGCTCGCACACAAGGGAACTCGCTCTCTCCTTAGCTCCTGTTGCTGCACCTAGCCACCACGATCACCTCCTACCAGTGAAGGCTCTTTCTACCATTCCTTCCGAAAACACCCTTGACCGCTCCGGAAGAAACCCTCGTCTACGCCAGCTCGGGGGCATAAAATGCAGATGTAGACCTGGAGTTCAGACATAGACTGATGTTACCATCAGATTCCAAAGATTTTCTTACTCTTTCCCCCAGCAGTTATAAAACCCTAGCCCTTAGCCATGACCATATTACAAGATAATTTGTAAGTACAATTAAGGAGATAACGCCAAGAGTTCTGTATGGTGAATTCCTTGTGGGAGAGCCTGCTCACTGACTGCCTCGTCGCTTGGCTGACCCGCGTGGATAAGCAGTCCAGCCTAGGTTCCCTGTTTCAGGATTCAACCGAATTGGGATCAGTATAAACTAAACACTAGCACAGCTGTTTCCTTGCAACCCATTCGTTCATCTTCCCTAAGCAAGGAAGAACGAGGTTGCCTAAAGAGATTAATAATCATTCATTAAAGTTGTTTTTTTCAAGGGCACCCATATAAGTTTTGACACCCAATTCACACAGAAAGCCACATAGTAGAAAGAGGAGGCAAACTTAAGAAAGAAGAAAAAGCAAGACATATGCAGCTTCAGGGTAAGAAGCAAAATTGTCCCAGATCTTCAGTTTATTTTAAATGTAACATCTGAAAAACACGTATCAGCTTTTCTGCTTCAGCCTTTTCCTTACCGCTGCTAGCTGGCTTTTGACTAAAATAAACGTGTTGTGATCATGAGCAGTCAGATAAAAAGAAGAAAAGGAAAATAAACAGTACTGTAGAGGCGAGGGAGGAAGAACAGGAAGAACAGATATTGTGGATATTGGATTGGGGGATATGTATGTATACATATGTATACTGTAAAGCACTGTACCTGTAAGTGGTGGGGCTGACATTTATTTTTCTGGGTATACTGCAAGATTCAAACTTATTGGCAAGGGTTACATTGTTTCCAAAGAGGCAATAACGGGGCATTTTAACCCCAACAACTCCAGCAAAGACAGATCCAGAATGAAGGCCAATGCGCATCTTTAAATAAAAGACAGAAGACAACATTATTAGGTAAAATAAATAAACTGTTAAAGTCTGTGGATTTATAGATTCTTCCTCTATTAAAAAAAATCCAAGGTGCTAACAAAAATTCTGTTAGTAAACTCCTTAAAATAATTGTGTTTTCTGGTCATTGCTGCTCTAGCCTTACTTTGTACTCATAGGGAATCATCCTTTATCTGACATAATAACAATAAAGTTGGTCTCCGTGGCACTAAATTGATCTAGAAACATGAGCAGGAGTCATTACAACACTTGGATGCTTTTCTGAAAGAAATTACACAGTACAATGTTAGGCTGGTGACAGGGTTAATGAGTAAGACTTGCTTTGTTCTTAAGGTCAGAAGATTAAGTCTTAGGGAACAGCAAAGCAAATATGTCTATGCTGGAGCTCCAGTTGAACTCTATCGACAGTGGCCCGCCTAGAGCAGATTCCAAACCCAGGGTACAGAATTTAGATAATTAATCACATTTATGCATCAAGTGAAACATACTGATACCAGTTTTTGCAAGCAGTACTCAGATACGTGAGTTCTTGCCTAGCATGTGCTGCTTTCTATTTTCCTTTTTAAAATATATTCTTTTCTTATGTGCAATATACATACATAGACATGGTTTCTTCAGAACAGAGTTCTTCAGAACTCTGACAATACAGTGACATTAAGTTTGCTACTCTCTGTGCTAATCCAGAGAATTCAATATCTCTTTGAAGAATTTATAATTTCTATTTTTGAGTAAGAAAGGCAGAAATGCTTGCAACAAAAGCAAAACCCGCCCACAAGCAAAGACAACAGATGGCCAAAATATGTACAATGATATAGAAGTCTGATTTAAAGCAAGCAGTTTGCAGCCAGGCATCTTAGAAAATTCATATATAAAATGACAGTAAACTGTGTGACAGGTCTGTTATTTTGCAAAACCACCAGTGCTTTCATGAAGAGATTAAAAATAGAGAAAGATTCAGTTTTCTCCTAAGAAGCTTCTCCTAGGTGCTTTTACAATAGAAATAATTTTCCATAATTTTTAAATTACTTTTTAAATGCAGTAGCATTCCTCATGCAAAATTACAGAAACAGAATTTGTGCAGAAATTCTAAACATGTTATAACATTGTCAAGATATTTCCAGATTTTGTGAAATGCAGAATGTTATTTATTTATTATATAGTAGTGCTGTCTCTGTGATAGATGTAGAGCATGAAATCCTCTAAATAACCATTTTCTTGGCTACTGATATGAGATACATGATTATTATTTCATCTAAAATCAAAGAAGCCTGATGCTTTTTAAAGGAATGAACAGGAAAATGATAAAAGTGATCTGAGGCACCTGTATACTAAATGTAATTAGGACCCTGTTCGAAGACCTTTGAACTTAGTAGTAGCCCCACATGCACAAAGGTCTTTCTCTCTCTCTTTATTTTTATTTTATTTTTTAATGAGAATAAACCTAGGTGTAAAATTCAGCATGTACTTCTGTCTTCATTGAAAGGAGGTCATAATACAAGCACTACTGAGTCTAACTCTAGCCTTCTTGGTGTTAAGGCTATCATTTTGTGCCAATGGTTTAAGTACCTGATAATAAAACAGAACAGCAGTAGGATGCTTTCACAATGTATGCATTATTGCAATCAAACCATGACTTTTTATACTGATGTATGTTTTCAAAGTGAACACTTTGATGTTCTCATTGGTTCAAATTTTGAGAGAGGATTAGTCTCCTAATCGGAACACCGTAACATGCTCCATGCCACTGGCAACTTTGCTCCTGAGACAGCAGCAGCAGCACCTCAGTGTGCAGCTATTGATTTCACTGCATTTAAGTCTTTTGGGTTGATTTTCAAACCTCTCCCTTTCCTCTTCAAAAAACTCTTGTTCATAGAAGTAACAAAGTCAGCCTCTTAAAACCCCTAAAGTAGGCAAGCAAACAAAAATATCCACTGTTATCATGAAAGCATATAAAAATACAATAAAATATATGACCTTGATAGGCTCTCCATGGGGAGACATCACCTCATCTGACAGCTCCATCATCTTCAGGGCCATCAACGCGATTTGAACAGCGTGCGTTTCACTTTCTTTGTGTAAACCTCCCGCCACACAGTAGGCATCTCCAATAGTCTCCACCTAAACAGGCATATTTGTTCCTCAGCGTTACATTGTTTGACATACATCAGAATAGTCTGTGGCTTTAGCAGGAATTAAATCTTTATATAGACTGAGTGCTACAGGGTTATCATGCTCAAGTATGTAAGTCCTAGGCAAATCCTGCAGTATCATTCAAAAAGAAAAAATGCACAGTGCTGAATATAACGCTAAAATTCTTATCCTTGCTCATCTGCTGTCACCCGTTTACTGCAGAATCGCTGTAATTGTACAAAAGTTTTGACCGATTAACTTTTGAACTTTTCATAGTTTTCTTGGCTGCATGCCTAGCTGTTTCTGTTGCTATTTTGTTTTGTTTTCTAACTGGTCTTATTATAATGAACAGTTATGGCAAAATAAATTTGAGGTTTCTGCCATCTTCTGTGGCATTTCTGTATTTCTCTTCCAGCCCTAGAACCCCAGAGAAATGCAATAGATTCGGTACCTTATAGACATCTAGCTCTCCACACTGGTAATCAAAGCGAGTATAAAGCTCATTAAGCATGGTGATAACCTGCATAGGTGAACACTGGGAGCAGATGGCAGTGAATCCAACAATGTCAGAGAAAAGCATTGTGACATTATTAAATTTCTTGGCTTGCACAACTTGTCCTTGCCACAGCTGCTGAGCAACCTCTCCAGGAAAAATAGAGAACAGAAGATCCACCGTCTTCTTCTTTTCCTCTTCAAGGGCTTGATGGGCCTGCTCAAGGGTTGCTTTTAACTTTCCCAGCCTCTTCTTCAGTCCATCCTGAGCTCTGGCTTGCTCTCCTATCAGAACAACATCTCTCAGGGCATTGTGAATGGGAATATCGGAGAGGTACAGTCCACGCCCTGTAAAATCTTCTAGCCTATCCACACAAGGAGATCCCAAGAACAAGATGGCACTGGATTCAAAAATATAGATCATTTGGCCTTTAAGATCCATAACCTGAAACAGTTAAAGAAACAACAATTCATGCACGTGTTCACAATGCTGGCAGTGGTTTAGAAACAAGGTTTAGAGGAAGTACGTTGTGTCGAAGCATAGGAGAATCAGATTGATCCGTAGTCATTACATTTTCATTTAGTGACTTAAAATACATGGCATTAAGTCATAGCACTGTTAGGGCTATCAAATAAGTTAAATTTTTTTCAGTTTAGATTTTATTTGAACTTTCTGGTGCAAAAGTTAAGCCACAAAGCTAAACATCTCATTATGTTTGGGTATCAGTAAGTATCAGTTTAAATTTAGGAAGAAAAGGCATAAATACTCAAAATAAATATACAATTTTGATTATCTAAAGAGGCAAAAATATTTGTATGAGGTGCTGCTTTTAGCTCGTTTCTATATTCAGTCATGTGTAATATGCAAGGTGCTATAGAGCACTGCTTAACTTTGCTGTAAAAGACCATTTTTTTAAAGGCAGTCTCTGTTGCTACCTGCAAAAGCAGTCTGTGCTATCTTTGCAGTCATTGAACTGTTGCCTAACAAAGAAGTGGATCTTAGAGAAAGTAGCTAAGCAGTGCCACATTTTCCCCATTTCATTAATAACCTTGGGTAAGCCTTATTACTTTTCTTCATTGAAGTTCTTGCAGTGGTACGTGTGAACTCGTGGTTCATCCTGGAGTGCCTCAAGTATATTTGATTTGGAATTCAGCTTGGGTTAGTGATGAATAAAAGCAGCTGTTGAACATTGAATGCTCTGTATTGTCTCAGGTCATTTGCTGCAGACTCAGAGTCCGCACAAGTAATGAACTACCGCATCAGCTGAAACTATGCGGGGCTTTTAGTGGTAACATGAGTGAAGATAACAAGATATCAAAGATGCCAAGGCAGTGAGTGAGCACAGGATGAAGGAGCAGTGCCCTTCCCTCAAGTGCTGAGAGGCACTTTGGTAAAGCTTCCCTTACTACTAGCTTGGGACTGGGGACATTTTTATCATCAAGTGTCTGGCACATCATTGGTTTTATGTCAGTTTGTTGACTTCATCTCAACATTTAAGTTATCCTTTTTTAATAAAACCAAGTTAACAGTCACATTTTACTGGAGCAAAGAATAGTTTTGACTGAATATTGCCTTCAGAATCTGAATTACATTTCGTTAGATTTAAGAACTTTTGATTAGTGTAAGCCCTAGTCTTAGAATGTATTTGTAACAAATCATTATCTTTTAATTGCATTATCTGTTGAAAGGTAGACAACATGAAATTCACTATTACATTATTTTGTGGCTATTTATTTTAACAGTATCTTGCATGTCCCAAAACAGGAGAACCAGTTACTCAGAGAAGTCATGGTTATGGAAAGCTGCTTACCATAGATGATTTCATTTCAGTATTTTCCCATCTTCTCACTCGTACAGTAAATTGCATATTTAGCATTGTCATAATTCCACTAAAAGTGCAGCTTATTTTGGGGGCAAGAATTTCAAAATACTCTTCAAAATTAGGCTTTGCTTGAAGTTCTCTCCTAGTCAAAAGTCTTCTTATCCCGTTTCCAATTTGTAGAACACACATATCCTTGTCAAACATAAAGTGAAATGGGAAAGTCTTACAGAACATAGAGGCAGGAATAACAAGGGAGGACTCTGGTTTACATGGAGATAAGGAAGGTTTTGCATTTTTAACCTGAATAGAGTACAGCAAATAAGGCTGATTAACAAACTCAGTGCAGTCATTATGGAAACAAGGAGGCATGAGCATCACCTCTACTTCAGTTTCATACAAAATACGAGCTGCTGCTTTAATAATGCCAGATAGGATAAGACTTGTGATTTTCTTAGGAAAGAAGTAATACACATTTAGGTAGTCTTGGTCTTTCTCCAGGCATAGTATAGAGGCTTCTTCAAGTCTGTCCTTTTTTCCTGCTTCTTGGCTATGGCCACTCTGCTTCAGCAGAGTAGTAAAACTGTTCAAGAAGTCCTTAAGGGTTCCTCCAATAACCCCTAATATGTGTTCGTCCTCTTCATAGCATATTTTGAATAGCTCTTCACCAAGAGATTCCCTCAGACTGTCCACGGGTACACCTGCACGGAACCACATTTCAGAAGTCAGTCAGAACTGTGCGGATAGTGCTGGAACTCAGACTTTACCCACTTTTTCCATCCCAGACCAAATCAAATTAGAAATATTCTTCCCTGGAAGATTGCTTGTTTAGGAGGCCAGCTGTGACCAATAAAGGCATCACCTGGTGCCTGGGAAACAGGGAGACTCAACATTGTAGTTTGGAAAGATCCAAGTTTGGAAAGATGTAAACTAAGCCGATCTCAACTAAAATTGAAAGTGTATTTTGGCATAATATTTAACCTAGGACACTAGGATTGATATTATGAAATAAAATAAGGATAAAAAACTAATTTTACTCTTACACGTAATCCTTATTTTATTATCTTCTAAGTTTTTCAATTCAGTGTTTTTGCACACATGCAGATATACTATGCTTCATGCAGTGAATTACCTAGCCCTAGGAACATTCGCAAGACACCTAGCCAATAGGCACAAAAAACCCCACATCTTTGCTAGTAAACTCTTTTAAATGGGATAGCTGCAGGCAATCTGGCTATTGAGAATGTCCCAACACCCCACAGGAATCATTTGGAAAATGCTATCCGGCATGGGCCAGATGTGTGCCAGAAACACAGCTTACGAGTCCAGAAGGCCATGCTTCAGCTCCAGCAACTGTTAATTTAGAAGTACAGACGAAGTTAAGGGCGTCCGTCTCATAAATTAATGCAATTTTCTTCCCACAGATTAAAGCTGGCGTTTCTTCAGCAGATGTAATGGATCGAACAATTTTTTGTCAGCATGAATCTGTAACTTATTACTGAATGTGTATTACAACTTACTCTAGACTTTGGATCTTAAAGGTATATTTATGAATCAGTGACAGCCCAGGCTTGAAAAACTTGGCTGTTTAACTCAGATATTGATCCTGGCCTGTGAACTGCAGAGATCACAGGCTGGCGTCCATAATGCCAGCAGCCACTGCCGCCACCACATGAAGGAAATTATTTGTTAGAAACCACATTTGCATTTTTCTACTATTAAGCAAGCTTACATTACCTGCTGCATTAGCATGATCACTAATTATTTTTTCAAAATCTTCTCTGTCTCCAGGGCTTCTGTAAAGATCAGAAAAAATATAATTTAAAGTTCCTGAAAATTAAGGCAAACATTATACTGAAACTAGCACATAGGAGAAGTTACCTATCCTCTCCTTACTGTGTCAAGACCACGTTCTGCTGATAAAATTGGGATTTTTTTATTAATACAAAATAAGATAATGTTAAGATATTAGATTACCCTGTGCGTTTGTGATAAATTTCACCAATAATACCAATAACAGCTCTACTTCCAAATTACCCATTCACTGAGAATAATCCAGATTCCTGTGATACAAGACTGTAGCCCTCTGAATGCTCTGAGGTCAGTGAACATCAACCTGGGTGTCAGAGCCAAGGAGATGTAGCTTAGATCAACCTACATATAAGCAATAAACCTTTGATACATGTTTTCTGAATAGCTCCACTCAAAATATCTTCTCTCCATACATATATATGCAAAAACAATACACATATAGTTGTCTGCATCATCACCTCATCTGGAATAGCATACCGATTTTCAAGCTAATACTCCAGGAAGCAATACAGAATTAAATCACCTGCATTTAAATGGCTTTTCCAAGTATCTTAAAATAATGGGGGTATATTCATAATGTCCTTTTATCTACTATTAGGGGGCCACCATACTGTTGTGAAATAAAACAACTGTATCAACCTTTTCCTCCCATGTATGAATAGTCTCTGCGATCCTCCAAAACATTTCCTCTTCCAGATAAGGAATGTAATTTTTCCATGCCCAATATGGCTAAATTTGTCCATGAAATCAACTTGTCAATAACTCAAATATTTGTGAATATTTTAAAATAAATCAGAATTAAATTACATGACATAAAATGTCACACAGCAGATTAACAAGATAATTCAAAACAGATTCGAGAAGTCCTGTTTCCCACTCAGTACCCCAGTCCTTAACAAACCCTTTGCAAAACATTTTTGCTGTGAGGTTTAGTTGCAAATCCACTGTACATACTTACCTGCTTTCTTTTATTCTGTGTTTTGCTAATGTTCTCTGAAGTGCAATATTTAGTCTTTCAAACTGGGAAGAAAAGAGGGGTATGTTAATTAAAATGTCATTGCTGAAAATCTAATCATAAGAGTAGCATTTTTTATGCAGAGATGACTTAATTTGCTTTATTTAGGGCTAACATTTTTTCAAGATGGTAAAGGTGTTGAAAAGATGCACCATTTCTGTATTTGTGGTTTGGTTTATGATGATGGCTTCAGCTCCACTCTAGTGGAGCTTCAGTACCACTACAAATAACCCCTCATACCTGATGTGCCATTCTGTTGTGCATTTTTAATATAGTGATGTGCTTTACCTCCAAGTTGTCAAATGACAATAAATACTGCTGCTAAACTATGAGTATAATCATCCCAACTTTATAGCATCACGAAAAAAAAAAAAAAACCCCAAACTTGCAAATAACTATCGTTAGAAATGTGAATGGCCAGGGTAAAAAGAATATGTTTGAAGTTTAAAATATATTCACCTAAAAAACTAGTTATATTCTGAATGATACCCACAGCAATACATAATAAAAAGTGGCTTTCCTAACTACTAACTTTTCTTGGAATATTCAGGGTAAAAATATTTTTAGGACAATTTTAGAAAGTGTCAAGAGAGAAACTGGAAGAGTTAACAAATAAGAGTTTCCAAAGTAGCTACAAAGGATCAAGAGAGCGTTCTGTACTTCAGATCACCTCCTTTTCTGTTTTAAAGACTAAAACATTTCAAGACAATTTTTGAACCTTTTATTTTATATTTGTGTTAAATGAAAGAGTTTGGGTTACACGCTCTGCAAACTCAAATGGCCTCCAGATGAAAATCTAAATCTCCAGATGAAATGTAACCTCTGCAAAGTATTCAGTAATAGAAGACCTTTCAGAGTATCATGAAGATACAGTACAATTCACCTCAACTCTATGCTTTCCTATCCTTTCTGCAGCTCCTAATTAATATAGATGTTATGCTTTCCAAACATGCACATTTCGAACAGTTTGCGGGCACTGACGCTGTCTTATATATGTATTCCCAGAGCACCCCAAGGCCAACCTTTCCACCCAGACGCGGACACACTGCCATGTTAGAATTTCTCTGAGAGGGCTTCTTTGGTCTGGCTTTTCTCTGGCTCTCATTCCCAGAGGAAATCACCCTTCTATACTACCTCTTTTGCTTGCTGCGTATCTAAAATGAAAGGTCTACACCAGAAGAAAATATCATATGAAAGAAAGGTTCTGGAGTCTTTTTCCAAATAAAACGTAAATATGAGTAGCTGTTCTTCCACAGATGTAAATACAATGTAAACCACATCTATGTACAAACATGTGCAGTAAGGGAAGTGTCATCCAAATCATTGACTATCTCCAAGCAGTATTCTCTGTATTTTCAGAAAAACCCAGAACAAGCAAACGAAGCAATTGCATGTATGACATTTTATCTTAAATGTGACCAAAAGTTATTCTGGGTTGCACTATGCCCTGCGCTTCCATGCACACCTCGTTGCCGTCATGAGGAGCTCAGGAATCACCTGGGGTCACGCTGTGGTTCCCTGTTTGGGAGTTTCCAGCTGGGCCGGTGCCGCTTGTCTCTCTGGATAAGGAGAGCACCACAAAGTGTCCAGGCGAAGGGAAGCGTGCTGTGGAATGAATGAAACCTTCCTAGGAAGGAATCAGTCGGGGTGCTTAGGTCTTGATCCCAGGGCAGCCTGAGAACAGGCTGCTGTGCCTGGATAAAGCTGCAGAGGATGTGACCTTAATAACCACAGATAGCTTGAACTTGAACTACAGCAGCTCCAGGGTTATATCACCCTAATATTTTGGACTTTATCCATCTTTCATGTTGGATGGACCAGGTTTCTATAATAAGCAGTTGCATACATTATTACTCTTTAAAGAAGAGATATCAATTATTTAGTAAAAAAGCCCCACCAAAAACCATATATTAGAAATAAAGTTAGATGAAATAGAAGAACTTACTTAAAATGGGAATCATCACACCATAGAAAGAGGTGCTTTACCAGTTCATTTCTCAGTCAAGTCTTTTCCTTTACATTTACAAGTTTAAAGATCAGCTTTAAGGGACAAACATCTTTTATGTAAATGCAGCAAAGGTAAAATATAGTCAAACAGAAACACAATGTAAAGTTACAGGAAAAGTACAAGAGGGGGAAGAAATACAAAAACATATCTGCAAATGGCTTGAGTAATGTTCCACCCGTTTTAGCAGGATACGCTCAATGTCCTTAGTACAAGTAACTGGATTACAGCTCACTCTGTGGTTACAGAGCACTGCCCATTCGCTGAGCTGTCCCGGTGTGTGCTAAGGCTTCCTTCACCGTTTCCCCGGGACCTGAAACACGCCCCAGGTATTGGATGTTTTGCAGGTGCATTTTCAATGCTTCCTCACCAAGTTCTTTTCATAGAGGCAAAAAGCAGTGTTCGTCTCTACTCGAGCAAGCCACTGTGCATGCACTGCGCCTGTTCTTAGTGCAGTGGAGCAGGGACCCAAGAATCCCTTTGGGAAGCTGCTGTGGGCCTTTTTCATTTTATTAAGAAGATACTTACTATTTCAGTATTTCAGTATTACTGTTGCATTTCCTATTTGCACAGCTCTTCTGTTCAGTCTGTGCAGGGTGGGGAGTAAGAAATGGCTCCTGCTGCGGGGAAACTGGAACCCAGGGGCCCAGTTCTGTAAACCTTACTCATTTACATCTGTTAGCTTCACTGAATCTCACTGAGACAGAAGTTCTGTTAATTTTAGCTGAACTATTTGCCTGAATAAATGTTTTCTAATTTACTTGCATTGACAGACAATTAAGATTTTAAAAATAATATATCAGAAGTCTGTATCACAGCAGATGAAAACAGCTAATTTTTGATAAGGGCTAGTTTTCTTAGTAGCATGGATTCAGTTAGGTGAATATAAGTTAAATAATTAGGTAACGAGGTGGTGTTTCACTGTATGTATACATTAAAAAAACTGCTACTGAAATACATATTTTTAAAGAATCAATTAAGGTGATCAGAGGAAGATTGCAAATACAGCATAAAAATATAGGGAAACATAATGGTTGAGATAGTACAGAGTGAGCAAAATTGTGGCAAAATTGTTTCCAGAAAAGATGGGAAAGGATGAAATGAGGGTTTAATCTATGGAGAGCTGCATAAGAACGCAAACTTTGAAGCCAAAACAACTTTGAAAAGACTTACATTTAAAGGCTTGTATATATGTATTTGAAATATTTATATGGAAATTCTAGTAAAATACCATTCTGAGTATCTATTTACCTCAGGAAAGATTAACTTGCAGATGCTTTCCGTTAATGTGTGCAGATACACTCTACTTCTGCTCGTTTTCCTTTGTGGAAGGTTTCCATGAGCATCCTGTTCATGGACTTCTTGGCAGATGGGCTGAGCTGCTTTGGAGCTGTTTTCCGTGCAGTCCGGCTCATGTTCATCCGTAATGTGGCTTTGAGTCAGTAAGGAGAAAGGACATTCCCCTGTGATCTTCAAGTCCTTCAGTTTTGTACAGAACATACTGTACACAGTCTGTCTTTTGAGATTAAGAGTGCTCGGCTCTGTGTTAAGTATTTCTCTTCTGTTTACTAACAAGAGCAGAAGAAACCAGAATAGAAGATAAGGCAACCACTGTTCAAGATTGGTGGCGGTTATAAATCACAGGAACAAATGCGTGCCCCTACAAAACAAGAGGAAAGAGAAAACAATAATGATGGGGAAAAAGTGCTTACCCTCTTAAATTCCAGTGATGTGCCAGCTTTAGCAGGCCTGCATTAAAATAACGGCTCTTCTAGGACCCTACTCTGGAGAGCACTTAGACTCTTGTAGCATTCTAAGCGTTTTAATCACTGTTGACTTCAGCAATTCAAGTAATTAAAGATGAGTGCGTGGTTAAGTGCTTGGTGGCTCAACTGGGGCTCTAGCAATTTAAGGCAGAAGAGTCACTTTATCTGCTTATGTCTTTGATCACATTGATGGATGAGATTTCTGAAGGAGTACAGAGCAGGCAATTCTACCAGAAAACATTGCAATTCCTCACAAGCACCTATTAAAACCACTTGATATGGCGCAATGAAATCGGTTTGTTCTGGACACTTAGATCTCCAACTACTTGATGCCCCAGCTATAGTGTCTTATAGAGGAGTGTCTGGTTGAAGTCGCCACGTGCACTTCTGGAACAGCAGGAGTGAGAGCTAACACCATGGGAATATGACCACAAAGCTCGCGCCGTTGTTCGGGAATACCGCGGGATTTTGTGATTTACAGATGAGAGCTTTCAGACAGCACACTGAAATCACAGTTGAACCTTGCATTTTAGCAATTGCTTCCTGATTGTTACATTTATTGCAGTAAGACTTAATCTGAAAAGGCTCTTTGTTTGAAGATTGTCTTTTCTACTGACTGTCTCATTGAATCAGAGCTCGTTATCTTAGCTAATGCTCTACGCAGGTAATGTGGAGAGCCCCTGGTGAGCCTGCAGCTGCAGCGTGGCGGGCGTCTCTCTGCAGATGCAGCATTTCTGTGAGCACTGTAAAAAAAAGCTCTTCCTGCCCCGGGACGCCCAGCGGGTCCCTAGGGTCACCCAGGCCTGGAGCAGGGCTCCAAACAACCCCCGCGGAGTGGCCCGTGCTGGTGCTCAGGCAGCCGCAGGGCCCAGCAGCCGGGCGCTGCAGAGCCGTCGCGCTGGACCTGCTGCGAGAAACGTTGGGCACAAAAGGCCTAGTGCAGTGTGCCATAGCACCGGTGTCCCCAGCCAGCTTCCAGGGACAGCTACGGGAAACGGGACAATGCTAAAGACAACGGGAGTGAAGAATATTGAAGGAATATTCTGTATTCCTGATTGCCATTTTATACAGAAAATACTAACATGTTTCTATTGCATGCTTATCAGTAATGCCATATTTTTTCTGCTCCATAAATATAGTAAGATAATATTTGAAGTATCTCCCAGTGCATGAAATACATTCCCATGTACTTCTATTAATAAGTTACTTGCCTGTGAAAAATGAAAGGCTGAATTAACAGTGGTTAAATTAGATAGTAGCAAATATTTAGTTCCTTTGCGTAAGAACAAAGGTAGTGACTAACGTTCAGCAGTAACCACTAGGTTCTTATCCTGTGAGTGGGACTATGGCTTTGTTTTGAGAAGACAGCAGTCTTGAATTACTTTGGGATTTACTCCCACACTCACATATTGTATTTTAATTCAATTATATTTGGTGTGGTAGGAAGAATGTCTTGCAAGTAAAATCATCTCAGTGAAGACTGAATGCCATCATTGTACACCTGAGAATCCTGGAGCCTCCCGAAGCTGCCAGGCCGCAAGGAAACATTGCAGAGGGTGGCCACGGGACGGGACTTCTTTGGGTTCGGTGGCGCGAAGGTCCCCGAGGCAGCAGAGCTGCCAGACGCGCAGCGGCTGCGGCTGCAGCTTGGTGCCGCGCTGCAGTCGGCCACTCTGCAGGGCTACAGGGGTCTGGCGGGGACTGGGATCTGTGCCCTTCCTCTGAAGGGGACCGGGAGCTTCTGCTGGTGGCTGTTCAAAAAAGAGCAGCATGAGGAAACTCGCAAAATGCTTCTGAGTGTGCGTTCTGTGCAGCCGTGCCGGGCCGGGTGTGCGGCTGTGCGGAGGGACAGCAGGACGGGGACAGCGTGGAGCTGCTGGAGCTCAGCACAGGGCAGCGGGAGCTTCGCCCTGGGACGAGCGGCTGTGCGGAGGGACAGCAGGACGGGGACAGCGTGGAGCTGCTGGAGCTCAGCACAGGGCAGCGGGAGCTTCGCCCTGGGACCAGCAGCCCCGGCAGCAGCACAGGCCCGGGGCGGGTTGCCGAGGGGC